AAACATTTAAGAGTTATAGTTACCAGGGAGTGTCTTTAACTATTGTGATCCTGAGCTGTGCAAGTCAAGTAATTTCTATGAAAAATACACATACCTGTGGGGGTTTTCTTCTTACAAAAAGACAGCTTAAGGAATTTTGGAGGTAAGGGTCTTCGAAGAAGTTGTGGGTGCTTTTTCATCTCAACGAATAAATGCTGTTTTTGACAATTCTTGGTTTAAGTGAGAATTGAAAAGTTATTCAATATATTTAAACTGTTGCTGGAAAATAATGCATTAGAATTTAGACTACATTTTAATAAATATTATTCTGTCCTAATGCTATGTTGAATCCAAGCAAAACTCCTTTATGTAAAAAAAAATGCGAACAAATCATCTAACTCCTAGAAATTATCCAGATAAAATTTAAGTTTATAATTAATACAGATTTTTAAAATATGTATACTATTACTAGCCAAGATCACTCTAAAATTTCCCATGTTACTACAATGTTCTGCCAATGGTATTTCAACTAGTAAATACTGATTTTTCAGAATAGTGGAAATGACATTTTTTTCTCTATCTCCAAAATCTTACCAGTATAAATTTAGAAGGAGTTTTTGGCCAAAACGATATGGGAGGTTCCCTCCATTATATAAGCCCCACAAAAGATAGAGGGTGTGCCAAAAAATGTATACACATTTTTAAAAAGGAAAAAGCTGTATTTAATTTGTAATACTCAAGTCACGACTGACGTCTGCAATTAGGAGAGCTGCTCAACATGATTTGTATTTATCTTGTTATTGGTATATATCGAGTATTACGATTTTATTTTTTATTACATCATAGCTGTGTACATTAATGCAATCATGGGGTACAATGTGCTGGTTTTACATACAATTTGAAGGTATTACAATTTTAATACAGTTTTTCCCTTTCATAAGATGTGTATACATTTTTTGGCACTCTCTGTATATTATATAATTTAATAAATACACTAACATGTTATATATATATACTGTTTTCATATAAGACCAACTATTATCTAACCATTCACAAATTTTCTTTCTATAATAATGACTTGTTTTAAATTTCAACCACGAGAGCTATAACTATTTAATTCAAAAATAAGATGAGCTTCACTGTAATAAGATTTCCCAGGATTGCTGGGAATCCCAATTAGTCCTGTTTAGAAATGGTGCAAGAAGCTGTACCCCCGAAAATGTGCTATTAGCTTACAGGGCAACTTCAAAAATGCCTGGCACATCCCTATTCCGTTGGTTGCCAGAAAGGGAACACTGCCCAAGTGGCCCGTTTATCCCCAGAGGTAACTTTGCACACAGGCACTCAAGGTTTGCTCCCTGGCAGCACGTTCCACGGGACGCTGGTGCTTCTCCTCCCGTAGGATCTGAAGAGATGCCTGGAAGCGCTGGACGCCTACGCTACCCTTGAGGACAATCAAGCTGCTTCTGACACCAACCAGTTTTGGGGTTTCCATCTCCTTTTCTTTGGAATCTACGCAGCTAGAAAGAGGTCCAGTGAGGTTGCGGGTCTTCCCGCAGGGTACTCTTCCCAAAGAAGGATACCCCCAGCCCCTGGCAAAGCGCTAGCGCCGGCCGGAGAGACTCAGCCAGGCAACCGGAGGCGCGCGTGCCCGGCCCGCGGGCGCGCAGGCGCCACAGG